GTTACTATACACAAGTAGTTGATCATTAAAATGCAAAAACATTCAAATAAAGAAGATTAAAGACAAAATTTGAAGGCCAAGTGAATGTTACCTTAGATTAATTATTGATAAACAGTATCATTTACTAGTAAGGTTATCAAGGCATAAGACAAACGGAATATAGAAGTAAAAAAAAACACCTACTAAAAACAATGTATATATTGATAGGTATAGATAACTTTGATAGGTATATGTATTCATAGATCCATAGGAAGGAAGATAAACTAATATAATTAGGAATAGGAAATTAAATTATAAAAAGAGATGTAGATAAATGTACAGATAGAAGGATAGAATGTTAAGCTCATCGTGGAGATAGACAGACTGAGCGAGTGGCACACAGAGATAGATAAACATCACAATAGATGAAAAGTCAGATATACAGAAAATGTTATATAGCACCATAGATTGACTGCTCCATTGATATATATTGAGATAGATATAATCCACAGTATAGCGTCATTACAGTCATTTAGCTTGAGTGTGTTCGCTAACATGCAGACGAAATTACACAACTTTTTGCCGTAATTCAACTTGGTGTGAATGAAGCTACAACTACCGCCAACACTTGCTCGTTACACCTGCGCGTTACACCTGCGTGTTGTACCTGCGTAGTACTCGTTCGTTTTACACCTGTTTTTACACATTCATATTGTACCTGCAGGTATTCTACATGTTGCACCTGCTTGTCACTCTCCTGTGCTCATCTGTATGGCACACCTGAGCTTTACATTTGAGTAGCACTAGTACAGTGTTACCAACGTGTACTATAACCTCTTGATTGAACGAGTGTGATTGAGACAAGTAGTGTATGAGAGTATCAGTAACAGGTATGAGCATGCGAACTTAGAATAGTCCTGGACTTAAATAAACGTCTTCAATAATCTTCACTGCTGTAGCTTCTCTTCTCGTTATCAGTTTTGTTTCATTTGTAGTTCTAATAATGGTGAATGAAACTTAAGAAAATAAAGCATAAAAAATAAAAGCCCAGGCACAATGTTTTCAGTTGAATATACATATGCACATACATGTGTGTGTTTCCGTGTGTGCATATGGATATGCATGAATAAATTTACTATTTTCTGTAAAAGAAGCAAAAAATTTCCAACAATATTAAGATACAATATCTAAGCCTATGTATCCCTACTGAAACTCTCCCGACGTAATCAACACCACGAAATATAGTGCAGACTTTAGGCAATAGTCGAACTATGTATGTGTGGATCACCTGATGAACAGGTTATGATAGATTGTTAGATTAGGTGATGTATGGTTAGGTTAGCAATTGAATGTTTAATCAGCAGGTGACACACACACACATTTAAATATATATATATTTATATATATATATATATATATATATATATATATATATATATATATATATATATATATATAAATATATATATATATATCTTCATAGAATCACACAGGAAAATGGGAAAAAATGGAGCACCTTAGCATTCGTCTTTATTTAAGACATCTTCAGAGGCAATTGAATTACAAGGACTGAGAGAGAGCTTATGTACACAGGGTGACCTTACAAAACATGAGGTCAGGTCAAAGGCGTATTTTTTATGCACTTTTCCATTGTGGATTTACATAATATATATATATATATATATATATATATATATATATATATATATATATATATATAATCAATGAGTACAGTCTGTACTCACCCCTGAAGATAATTACACCTTGGGAATCTTTCCAGGATCACGCGCACAGTGATTTATTGTATATATATATATATATATATATATATATATATATATATATATATATATATATATATATATATATATGATAATATTCATCAGGGGTGAGTACAGTCTGTACTCACCCTGAAGATGAATTACACGAAAGCGCTTGGGAACCCTGTGTTTTCTTTCCTGGTTATCAGCATATACCTAGATCACGCGCACCTAGTGATTTATTTGCATATATATATATATATATATATATATATATATATATATATATATATATATATATATATATATATATATATATATATATATATATGAACAAAGTACTTCCACTTTGCCTTAGAATGTAGAACTACACTCCTGAAAGTTACAGAAAAACGTCAAAAAGGTAAATGTTAGGGTATCAGGTGATGAAACCCTGGGACTATAGTGGGAGGTGAGCGGTAGAGGAGTGTGCCGTGCACCAGAGCCACTGTTGATGCTCTGGCTTACCCACTCATCCCGCTCCGCCCTCACCGCCACCCATGAACCACTCACTCACGCATTCATTTGTCTTTTTTTGTATTTCACGTTTCGTTGGTTATTTATATGGATAAAAATTATGAACATAGTGAGAAAGGAAAGATTAAGTGGAGGGAAGCGGAGAGTGTGAATTGTTAGATGATGCTACGTAGGGTAGCTTACTACGGCTCAAAAACACCCCCAAGAAAGAGAGAAAGGAAGGCAACAAGGCGTGTTTCGTTGTCAGGATGAATTTAGCCCCTGAAATCCCGGCTTTTGTAAGGGCCACCTACTCCATAAAAAGCATATCTAGCTTTTCCCTCTTTCCGGTTCTAGTTTAGTGTGTAGTGTGGCTCCCCCAGCACACACACACTCACTCACCCACTTATACAAAAAATATAAGTTTTGGTCTGTTACGACCCGTTGTCAATCCCAGGCCAGCGGACAGGCTGGCTCACAGCCCCGTGGGATGCAAGTCTAACTTTTTCTTTCTTTTAGGGTCTCAGAGAAACAGAACCACGACTTTTTTATACCAAGAGTTTTGTCTATATATATATATATATATATATATATATATATATATATATATATATATATATATATATATATATATATATATATAGTGAATCACTGAAGAGTGAGGGTGAGACCTGGTCTCACCCTCCTCTGTATATATACACCTTGGTTTGTATTTTCTTTAGTCTGTACTCACCCCTGAAGATGTGAATTACACGAAAGCGCTTTGGGAACTTCGTGTTTTCTTTTCTTTTAGATATATATATATATATATATATATATATATATATATATATATATATATATATATATATATATATATATATATATGAGAGAAGTTGTAAGTGATAATGAAGGACTAAATGTTAATGGTAAAGTAATATCAGATATATGCTGTGCAGATGATGCTGCTCTTATCACAGATAGTGAAGAGGCATTACAAAAACTCGTTAACAGATTAGCGGAAAAGAGTGAAAAATATGGTTTAAGAGTTAATGCTGTAAAGACTAGAGTAATGTTTTTTTTTTACCAAATTGGAAATAAATCCCCAAATAGGAATTTTGTTAGGTAACAGGGAACTTAAACAAGTCAAAAATTGTGTGTATTTGGGAAGTAACATTAGCTGTGATGGTAGATGTACGTAAGAAATCAAAACAGGAATAGGACAAGCAAAAATCTGAAAGACCTAATGAAAAGGGACATTAACTTCAATTTGAGAAAAAAGCTTCTGAAAGTCTTTACATGATAAGGACTGATGTATGGGTCAGAGCATGGACACTTTCAGGAGATACCAGAAAGAGGTTGGAGGTCTTTGAAATAAGCTACACTGACAGGAAAACAAATGATGAAATACTACGATTAGCAAAAACTTCAAGAATAAATACTTGAAATGTATAGAAAAGAAGAATGAGAAACTTTGGTCATATAATTAGGGATTAAGGAATGATAACAGAAATATTAAAGCAAAGATGAGGGTAGGAGAGCTAGGGGAAGGCAGAGACTAGGTTGGATGAGTTAAATTAAAAACTTGGTCCCCATAGAGATACAAAACCTTATGATATTTGTATAAACAGCCCAAGAACGTTTATCACCAGTTATCTAACCTAAGAAATTTGCTATCATATTTCTTATAATCATTTCATTAAGTCAGTTAGGCAAGTGATAGATATAGTAATTTTCTTACAGTTTTTCATGTATGTTAACTTTATTGAAGGAGCTCTGTGATTAAATGGAATCCAAAAAAAAATGACAAATACTCTGGTCATAAAAGATTGATACAATGTGCCGAGTCTCAGGTATCTCTTGGTTTTCCCACCGAGCTTCTTGGTGAGAACATACTAAAAGTTTCACCTAGATTTTGCTTCACTTTTATTATTAACAGTTGTGTCATAAATTCATTTTACTCTTCAAATACAATTAATTTTCTTACTATAAGCTTAACATGGAAATCAACAAAATATAATTGGCATAATGTTCTTGTAAGATTCACTCATTCACTATTGTCAAGCCACCCATTATATAAACATCACATCTAGTACCATAAAGTATATTAATCTTATTCGGTAACGAGAATAATGTTGTACAGTTTCATAGAGACATTAAATCTGTCATTCCACGGCGACGTTCTTCAAATTACTGTAAGTCTTACCCTCATAACTTCTGAACCATGTCAAGTATATAACAAAATTTTCTCTCCTGTACCATTATATATAGATAAGTAACTTATATGGATTTTCGCTTCATATTCTTCACTATAGTTATATAAATTAAATCTTACCAAATAATGTGCTGGAGAAGTTTATAACTTACCCGAGAAAACCGAATCAGATTACACAAACGAATAGTCATCAGTTCTACCATTCTTCAACGATGCTCATATGATTATAAAAAAACACTCGACGTAATTTTCCGTACATCATTCCATCCTGTATCAGTGTTGTCGATTCAGTTCTACGACGTTAGAACAGACACCAACAAGATAATGGTGCGTTGGTGATGTTCAAGACTTTTAATCATCATCTATGACTGTTTCTTCAATATTCCAAATTCCATCAAAGTTTTAAATGTCTCGTAAACTTTGTCTGTTGTTTTCTTGTCATACTTACATTCATTGTGGTGCTTTACCTGCTTATGTTCAGAAGTCACTACGGTAGCATACTTACCCATGAACTAACTCAGTATACAGTAATTCTAGACGTAAGATTTGATGAATATTCGTGTTATACTCACTGGCTGAAGCAGAGAAGACGACCGCCATGAGAAGTAGCCATACCTGGTGACTTCTCTTCATCCTGATGATCTGTAAAGAGAAGTGTTTTACTTAGCTAAAATCCTTCAATGTTCTACAGACTTATGAGTCGGAAATATCACATTAACAACGAGAATAAGTCTAAGAAAACACTATAGATGAGAAGCGAGAAAACATGATTTTCCTTATGGTTGATATACGTTCATTGTAGTATTTAATCAAAGTAAAGTATATACATAATCTTGTATACACGTTTTAGAAAGGAATTAAGATTTCAGTACATTTTGGATATATCTGAAGGAGAATTATTACTTCCCTGTAGCAATCATAAGCTAAAGGAATGAGTACACAGTATGATACCGGGTATTATTAGATTATTTTCCACTGCACCTATTCAGAAATAATCTCAAATGTAGGAAGGTATAAGTTACATTTAGTGATGCCGTTATAATCAATACGTTCTAGTTACTTATGTTTATTTGTGTAGTGTGGTGCAGTGATTAGTGAGCACAGTGTAGCAGATGGCTTCTCCTGTGAAATCTTAGTGGTTCCAGTGGTAGGTTGTGTTAAATCATACATATTATTCCTACTGGTACATCCTTACTTTGATTTTCTAAACAATATGGTTGGTATAAGTAACGGTATAAACTAAATCAAAATTAGAAATGATAAATTCGTTCGATTATTCCCTAAAGGAGAGGAAAGGTGAAGAGATTGGCGAGAGAAATTAATTAAGCTTTGAAATAAGTGACTTTCACGAGAGTAAAGACCTTCTATAAAAGATGAATTAATTTATCTACTGATGTATATAAAACAATTAACAAGTGTTTTCAGCAAGAATATTTTCCTCAAAATATTCATATATAAGTTACTTATTACCTTAATCCTTTCCTCTTGCCTTGTCTTTAACTGACATGTGAATTTATTATCTAGAATAATTAATACAAAGGATTTCATCATGCGATATAATACTTCATATCAAAGTTCTATTTTTCAGTTAATTTGTTTTCCCTTGGGTGATACTTAACCCTTGTCTTCGGGACAAGCCATTCACAATTATTTTTCTCAGCGCACATTTACTTATTAGTGTCTCAACTTATTGGTATTTTCCTTACAATTTATGGACGTTTTCACAGTTACGTATTATCACCCTTAATTGTCTTGGATTATATCAACAAACATCATTAGTTTAAACACAAAGTGGCATAGTAATGAATCTTACACTCAGGTTAAGAACTGCACACACACACTAACAAATTACTACAATGTCTTAGAATATGTTAAACTGAGGCAAAAAGAAATCTCAAATATGATGATGATAACTGAAAACTCGGACGAGCATAAGTAAATTCTTAAGAAATAACATTTAATTACTCTAAATGTGAAGCAGTGAAACCGTCAATCAGCCTTTAATTGAAATCTTAACTGAAACATTTAGACGAATGTTGAACGAACAATTAACTTTTGTTTGGTTCACTTATTGACATAGAGAAGTTACTTTCCTTAGATTGGTATCATAAATCCTTTGCTCTATAACTAAAGTCATAATCAGCAAATAAGGAATATTTATGTACATTATTTCGACATAGACACTAACATACTGCATGGTTGAGTGCAATATTTCACAAATAACTTTTGTATTTTTATCTAGAATTGTCGTTTCTTATTTATGGTCCACGTGTGTTGGTTATGCTTGATCTCATAAATTTTTTAAGAGATTGTGATTTATAATGTTCATGTTTAATGACCTAAAATCCTTCTTAGAAACATTTAAATTTACGTTCACTTATCCAAGAGTTACCTTTTGGGTTCAATTTTGCATTTATTTTCATTAGAACAAGTTTCAAATTATTTAAGATCCATATTATTATAATGAATTCTAGTATTTTCACTAAATCTATTATCCTCTTGTTGTTCTCATGTAAACTCTCTTGTTAACAATCATGTCAACAAATTTGTAATCGAATATTAGTTTTACAAATCATCCCCAACATTAGTTAGTCAACAGAAACTACAAAAAATGGCATAAGAAAAATATATAGGCAAAAATGGCATACTTCAGGAGACATTTAAATGCCATCATTAAAAGTCCATATCATTATTTATTATAGGTATTGATGAGCTGAAGTTACGGCTTTTGTCACACTCACAATTAAGTCAAATTAAATTATGTATTCTGTTGAATGAACAATACATATGTGTAGTTTCTTACAGCCGTAATTGTGTCGTTATATAAAGAAAAACATTTTTGTTCCGCGGAAATGAATTATTTACAAAGATATATGATGTATGGAAGATAAAAAGAGATTAGTAAAGATATACGATTAATACAATATATATATATACATATATATGCAAGTAAATCACTGTAGGTGCGCGTGATCTAGGTATATGCTGATAACCACAAGGAAAGAAGAAACACGAAGTTCCCAAGCGCTGAAGATGTGAATTACACGAAAGCGCTTGGGAACTTCGTGTTTTCTTATTTCCTTGTGGTTATCAGCATATACCTAGATCACGCGCACCTACAGTGATTTACTTGCATATATATATATATATATATATATATATATATATATATATATATATATATATATATATATATATATATATATATATATATATATATATATATATATATATATATATATATAATGGGAATAATCTTACGATAAGTAGTTAAATTGTTTCTAACATATATTTTTGTGATTTATCTTTTAAAGTCATATAATTAACAATTTATGATAATTTAGAACACTAATTACTCTCTGATGTTGTGTTTATGAAGATTTTACCCAAGTTTCTCCTGATATTTATTATATAATAATTACTTAAAAATTATAGATCACCTCCAGAAAAGGAAAAGTGTCAGCAAATTTTGAAATAGAAGTCATACACTACGTCACTTGTTTCTAAACGATATCATCGGTGGTAAAGGAATTGCACGGAAATAGCTACTCCATAATATTTTTCTAAGAATAAATATGTGATGTAGTCGATTACACCGCTTAGTCTGACAGACAAACAAACAATTAACTGTATTATCACCTGCCACTAGGTTAATTGACCGCCGGTGGCCAGCACAACACCTTCTGGTATGAGGTAACAAATATAAAACACATATTTACAGTATATTTAATACTTCCAAAGACATGATTTATCACCGTCACGTAAAGCAAAAGCTTATAGATTTATACACCGTTTAGGCAGCTCACATGTCCCTTCCCCATTAATTTCACTTATAATCAGGTTACTGGGTTTCACTAAGTCATATTACATGAGTTACGATTTAATTATTAATTAACGGTTACAAAAATATAATATAAAATCGTAAGAAGTTGACCAAGGATATATATTAATATAAATTGTTTATAAAAGGATTTTTATATTTAATTAGATAAAAATTAAGCTATATAAAACGTTTTAAATACACCAACTCTGATTTCTTTATGGATTATCGTCTTTAAAAGTAATTAACGCAGCAGAATGTCATAAATAATAAGGCTTTACTGGTTTATTATCATTATTCTACCCGCTGTCCCCTAGGGACTTGATCTCACTCTCCTCTACTGTATATATTAGCCTTGTCAAGTATTACTCCTTAGTCTGTACTCACCCCAGGAGATGTGAATTACACTAAAGGGCATGGGAACTTAGTGTTTTCTTCTTTCCTTGTGGTTATCAGCATTTACTTGGATCACGTGCACCTACAGTGATTTACTTGCATATATATATATATATATATATATATATATATATATATATATATATATATATATATATATATATATATATATATATATATACACAGTATATCATGTATGTATGTGTGTGTGTGTGTGTGTGTGAGTGCGTGGGAAAATGCATTTACGTGCTTGAACACTGTAAACTCACACAAAAACACACCACCATCCCCCAACAAGACCTGTTTACCCCAGTCCCCCTCCTTTCTCATTTGTTAGTGACCATTGTGGACCAAACAGGTCTTGGCGACACTCCCAGACCAAGGCATGACCGCTTGTGCTTGCTACTGCTTTACCCACGTCACCGACACCAGAGAACCCCCCCTTCCCACCCCACACACACGTACATATGAGATAACCAACGCATAAACATGAGGGGAACCACACATAGCCATGAGGTAAACGACACACAAACATAAGAGGAACCACACACAGCCATGAAGTAATCGACACACAAACATGAGAGGAACCACACGCACAGCCATGAAGTAAAATAAATTACACACAAACATAAGAGGAACCACACACAGCCATGAGCTAAATTACACACAAACTTGAGAGGAACCACACACAGCCATGAGTAAAATAAATTACACACAAACATAAGAGGAACCACACACAGCCATGAGCTAAATTACACACAAACTTAGGTTAACTACACACAAACTTGAGAGGAACCACACACACAGCCATGAGCTAAACTACACACAAACATGAGAGGAACCACACACACAACCATGAGCTAAACTACACACAAACTTGAGAGGAACCACACACACAGCCATGAGCTAAACTACACACAAACATGAGAGGAACCACACACAACCATGAGCTAAACTACACACAAACTTGAGAGGAACCACACACAGCCATGAGTTTAACTACACACAAACATGAGAGGAACCATACACAGTCATGAGCTAAATTTCACACAAACATGACGGGAACCACACACAGCTATGAGCTAAACTACACACAAACATGAGAGGAACCACACACAGCCATGAATGCGAACCACCTCCCCTTACTTCCAGTATACCAACACTTTCATTAAACAAGGACGTTAAACTTTACCTCCTTCCTTTGAATAGAAATATATCTAAATAATTTCGCTTTGAAGGTAATACGGGTTTTTGGGTATTGTTTCTAAATAATGGACTAATCTTAATGTTAAAATCATCTATCATAATCGCTATCAATTTTATCAGTACTGTTGTCATTATCACCGTCACTATCATTAATCATTAACCTATATTTATCCATAACTCAATGGTCTCTTCTATATGGCACTTCAGTCTCCTCTGTCTT